AGTTTTCTCTCTTCTCTGCCCCTCCATATAAAAAATATAAACAGTGGTAAGTCCAGTCTTGTAATTCATGCTGTTACCTGCTTGACTTCAAATACAGATTTGATTTTTACCTACCTCCCATCTCTTAACCTTTCCAAAGTCAGATTGGAACATGCTGATCCCATGTCTAAATACGTCTTCCTGAATTTCTAATTTCAGTGCAAATTATTTCCAAGTTTCTTCCAAAAGCCAGAAGCAACTACTTTCTAGAAATGTATACAGTATATAAAATCATTTTATAGATACAGGCATGATTTTATTGTAGAACTGACCCAAGTGTATGTGTTACTTGTTTATTCTTTCCTTCCCTTTTTGTTATATACTCTATCAAATTTTACAATGTATGCTCCTTGGGGCAGGGATATATCCACTTATAGACTGTACACTTAAGATTCATTTTAACTGACAATTGAGAGGATGGATTGTCTGTTAAATATTGTGGAGATTGACATCACTTGTGTGATGTTATTACACCAGTGATGCAAATTGCATCATTTGCATCCATTGACATAATTATGCAAATGTAAATTGATACAAAACAGTAGAATTTGAATAATGAAATCATCATGCAATTGACATGAATTACATTGCTTATGTCATTTGCATAACAGTGTCATTATCAATCATCTGAATTATTTTTTTTATTTTGCGTGTGCTAAATGCAAGTTGCCAATTTCCTTCAAAGCTATTTTCTCCCTGAGGCCTAATCAGATTTAGAAATCTACATGTGTTACTTTCTTTCCAGAGTTTTGGAAGTGTTGCCTCCAATTCAGCATGGCTTAGACTCCCTCCTCCCTCCCTCCCCTCCCCTCCCCTGCTCCCTCCCTTCCCCCCTCTTCCTTCCTTTCCATGTTCTTTCTGTGGGAAAATTCAAAGAAATAAAAGCCTTCAGCTTTTCAACTTATTTAACTTCGAGATGAGAGAATTTATGTTTACTTAGAGATGTAGTTAACAGGCTGTCTTAGAGTTACCTTACTACAGGTAATGTTGCATTGCTGGAGGTACTTATTACAACATCTATGATCTGTAGGGCTTCAAATAATTAATACATTATTATTATAACAAAGTGATTCCAAGGTCTTAGGCAGGGGAATTTATTCCCATTACATTACAGGTTGTCCTCGACTTAAAATGGCAATTGGGACGAGAATTTCCATCGCTAAGTGATGCAGTCATAAAGCACGATCACATCACTTAGTGATGGCAATCCCTGCAGTCCCAGTTGCCATTGTTAACCGAATCCCACAGTCATTAGGCAAGGCAATTGCCTGCCGGCTTCCCACAACCAAAGTCAGTGGGGAAGCTGGCAGGAAGTTGCAAGTCCCAGGCCAGCAGGCAGCTAAGTGGCTACTGCCGGGTGGTGGAGAGAGCAAGAGTGTGGCGTGGGTCAGAGAAGATGCACGAGGGTGCGATGTAGGTCAGGGTGTGTGTGTGAGGGTGTGGCACAGGTTGGGGATGGTGTGCAAGGGTGTGAGGGGATGCCTGAGATGCAGGGAGTGTGCACGAGGGTGCAGTGTGGGTGGGGGACAGGGTGCGAGGGAGTGCGTGAGAGGTGTGGCATGGGCCAAGGGTGTGGTGCGGGTCAGAGGGTGTGAGGGTGCAGTGCGGGTTGGGGAGAGTGCGCAGGGGTGCATGAGTGGCCGGTGTGGCACAAGCAGAGGGGCTCGGGTAGGGTGTGTGGGTACAGAGACTTACCCCAGTGACTTGTGACCTTCCCTGCCAGCTTCCCCATTGACGTTCTGGGGAAGCTGGCAGGGAAAGTTGCAAATGGAGATCATGTGATCACGGGGCGCTGCAACTGTTCATAAGTGCAAACCGGTTGCCAAGCACCCAGATCGTGATCACATGACTGGGGGGGGGTGCTGGGATAGCTGGAACTCTGAGAACCAGTCATAACCACTATTCATTCAGCACTGTTGTAACTTTGAACAGTCACTGAACGAATGGTCATAGGTCGAGGACTACTTGTATATACAAAGGGATATCTATGCATATTAAGCAGCTTTGTTCATATATGGTAAGTTGGTATTGATTGATGCACCTGAGTCTTCTATGCCAAAATTAATAAAATTAACTGATGGCTTTGGAACCTTTCCAGATATAAATGTAAATTGGTCTAACACAGAATTGATACCTTTCAGGGCTATCAAGATGTCACATCCCGTGTGTGTTTGTTTGTTTTGCACAGTTTAGACAGTTAATACGGCCACAGGATGTATCCTCAGAGGGAATGGTAGGAGTAACTACTCAGGCACAGGTATTTTAATTCTTTAAACCCTAGATGGCATTTAGTAGGGTTTATTGTAAGTCCTGTATTCTTCAATTTGTTGCTTACTCTTCCTGAATGTTTCAAATGGTCTTCCCAATTTTAGTTGTATACCACAATATTGTCCAGTAGATCTCACACCATTTTGCTTTTCCTGATAATTTTCTGTCTATAAGCCTATGAAATGTAGGAAGAGCTCCATGCAGCTCAGAATGCATTTTGGTAAACTGAAGTAGTCCTTGTGGAGTGGCAAATGCAATATTTTCTCTGGATGCCCTCTCTAAAGGTATTTGCCTTTCATCAGATTGATGGTAGAAAGATATTGGGTCTTATTCAGTCTACCCAAAAGGTCATCTATATGTAACATTGGATTGCTGTCAAATTTAACAATGTGTTTGTCTCATATCAGCACAAAACCTCATCTCACCATTTAGTTTTGGGGTTAACATAACAGAGGCACACCATTCACTGTGAGATGCTTCAGTCACTCCCAATTTTAACATTTTATCCACTTTTTTCTCTACTACATTCTGGAGTCTCTCTGGAACACAGTATGGTCTCTGTCTGATTGGTTTGGCATCCTCTGTTGATGACGTATTTCACTAATGTGGTTGTACATTGGTAAATGTAGGGTGGAAGATCTGGATTAGTTCTTTTTGGTCATCTTTTTGTGATGGTGACAGAGACTGATTGATATGTACCTCTTCATTAATGGTATTGTACTAATCCTTCATATGTCTTATCTGTGAGTCTTGATGATCCTTATTCAGAACAACAAGCACAGTGTGTATGCCATTTTCTCAAGAAATTGGTATGGTGGATCTCATATTTTCCATTTCCTAGATCGATTTGATAGTTTATAGGACTGGGTTTTTTTTCCACAATGGAATAAGGACCTTGCCACTGAGCTTGTTTGCATTCAATGCTTGGTAGTAACAGTCACAGTTGGTCTTCTACTGCCAATTGTTTCTTCCATGCTTTTTTTTATCATATCACCTTTCTTGTAAGTCCTGTGCCTAAGCTAGAAGTTCTTGTACAATCTGGGTTACAGGGTGCAATTTTTCTCTTCAAGGCAGTACATATATAACCAGGTTTTTAGGGGATTCAATCCAGTTACTCCAGCTCTCTTTAATTTCATCCAGGATCCCCCTTGGTTGTCTTCTATGCAGTAATTCAAAAGGACTAAATTCTGTTGAGGCTTGCAGTACTTCCCTGTACCAAAACATAAGATATGGCAATCAAATGTCCTAATGACTGGGGTCCTGTCCGGCATATTTTTTCAACAAGTTTGTGAGGGGTTGGCTCATCTGTTCTGTAAGATCATCTGCCTTTGCACGATATGAACTAGTCCTTACTCTTTTTACTCCCAATACTTCATCGAGCTGTTTTAGGAGGGTTGATTGAAAATTATTCCCTTGATCTCTCAATATATGATGAGATATACCTACTCTGCTAAAGATTTTTATTCATTCCTCCACTATCCGTTTTTCTGCAGTGGTTCCTAATGTAACTGCCTCTGGATATCGGGTTGCATAGTCACATACTGCCTGTATATACCTATTCTCTTTGGCTGTTCTCAGGAGAAGGCCTACTGGTTCTAGCATGATAGGTACTCATACAACTGGAGCTTTATCCTGTCTCCCTTTTCTTCTGACTAACTGGCATTCCCTACATACCTGATAGTGTCTACTGACATCTGTTCCAATTCCTGGCCAGCAGAATCTGTCTAGTATTTGGTAGAGTGTCTTTCCCTACCTAGGTGCCTTTAAAAGGTTTTCCTGTGCCAGTTATGGAAACTTTTCTCTATATTGGCTAGGGACTACTAACTGCTCTATTCTTTCTTGTGTAACTGGGTTTTCCTTGCAGGATGTTATTTATACATTCATAAGTGGGATTTTCAAGCCACTTCTCTGTGTACGTTTTCACTTCCTGCCAAAATGTTTTTAAAGAAGTGTCTTCCCTCTATATTTTCCCTATATCAACATCCCATGGGAGACCTCCAGTATCCAGGAACTCTCCTCTAGCTTTATCTGCCTCCCTAAGTTTTTTTCTCTTTTCGGGGCTTACTCCCTTTCCCACTCAAATCTGGATGGGAGGGGAGAACATCTATTGCCTCTGAAACCTCCTCTTCCTGTTTTCATGCCTGTGCCCAAGTAGTTACTTCTACCTCTCCCTCTGAAGATATGTCCTATGGCCATATTAAGTCTGCATAGCCAGGAAAATCTATCTGTATAGGATAGGATAATTTAGTAACTACCACAACCACCATAGTTTCTATTTCATCCTTAACCTGTATATTTGCTCTAACTAGTGGTACAGATCTAGTATGACCATAAACATTTATTAAGTGCTCTTCGCCCGCTCTTGGTGCTCTCTTGACCAAATAAGGGCAAATTAAAGTCCATCTGCTTCCTGTGTCGATTAAACCCAAAACTGGGTTCCATTGATCTTAGCCTGTATTGCTATTTCTGATTCTCTGGGTGCTTGCAACATGGCTGAGAAAGGTCCCTTTCTTTGGCGGTTTTGACAATCTTTAGCTACATGCCCTACCTTGCCACATTTATAACAGGATCTATTTTCTCCTTGGTTTGTTTGACCTCCCTTAGGTTGGGAAGGAATTGCTTTTCCCTGACACTTCCTTTCTTAGTCTCTCCTTTTTTCTTCCCTTTTCCAACCTCTCCATGCTCCCTTCTAGCTTCCTCAGCTCTTCTGGCTGCAAGGTAATCTTCAGCTAAGGAGGCTGCCTTAATTCCTGTGTCTGGGTGACACTCTTGCACCCAAAATCTATCAGGTCCAAGTAGGACCTGTAGGAGTTACTCCAAAATAATTTAATCCATAATCTCCTCTATATATATCTGACTGTAACCATTTTCTAGATGGGTCTCCCAGCCTTGCCCAGAATTCTCTCACTCCTTCCTGTTCCTGGTACTTACATTCATGGAATCTTTGCCTATAACCATATTTTGTGACTTCATAATGGTAGAGGATCATCTCTTTTACTTTCTTGTAATCCACCACCTCCTGAGCAGGAAGACCTATATTTGTCCTTTCCTGTCAAACAAGGGGCCAACCTGGCCATCCAATCCTCCCTTGGCCATTTACATGATACTGCCACACATTCAAACATAATTCAAATGCCTGTGTGTCTTCATCCTCACTTAGTGTATGGATTTTTATATCCCTAACATACTCTACTAGGAGTAGAGCTAGCTAGTGGTGGAGCCTCTCCTACAGTGATGTCTGTTTCTTGAGGAGGGAAAGAAGGTCCCTAAACCCATTTCTTTGAGCTTCTGTCCTTTCTCTTTCCCTTTCTAAGCAATCTCTGTGTTCAGTCTCTTGCCATTTCTTTTCCTCTACTTCCTTTCTTAAGAGATGTGCATGCTCTTCTTGCTGTTGGTTCTTGCTGTTTTCTTGCATCTCCTTCATAATACTGGCTCATGGCTCTGCTGGAGTGGGTTTGATTTCACCCTCTGCCTCATATGCTTCCAATGCTGGATCTGTATCCATTTGTTCCTCAGCAACCATATTTGCCTTTTCTTGCTGTACCTGCTGGCCATCTGGTGTATCCCTGAGTCTGAGGGCATGCTTGTGATGCCAGGGTACTAGGAATTATGTACCAAGTACTGGTTACTGCTTCGCCTCCTTCTCCATGCACTTATTTGTATGTCTTAGGCATCATTTACATGCTTGGAGCACGATGCTGCCACCACTTGTGAGGGGTTCTTTCTGATGATGACTGGACATGCTACAGCATAGAATAAAACATTACACAATGCTTTATTGTAGCACACACTTTCCTCAATAATAGGCTGTTGCCCTGACTGGGTAGGGCTAACTCCACCCTCCTAGTCCTGACAAGTTGGCCATGTAAACCAGTCTCTGGGGCTCAGTCCTTACAGTAGTTAAAAGTCTTAAAGTTTGTAAAGTGGCATACAGTCCTTGCCTCCCTCCATAGTTCTTGCATTTGTTGGGGTTTATATGCTGCCTCAGCATGGTTGCTCCTTTTGTAATTGTTGCCAAGGTCCAGGCCAAGCTCTAAACTCTGCTCTTAAGCAATGTTGGTATTGAGCACCCAAGCTAAGATGAGCCACTTACCTTGGCTTGTGATCTTGGCAGTTGACCATCAGCCCTCTTGCTTGCCTCTAACTGTTACACATGCCCAGACATCACTTTGCGCTTCCTCATCTACTTGCTGTCTCTTCCTTGTCTTCCTCTCTCCCTCTCCCTCTCCCTCTCTCTGTTGGCTGTCCCTTTTTTAGGCTATGGGCATGGGTGGGATAAAGTGTGCTAACTACAGATATTGGCATGGTCCTGAAAGAGCCCAGGGGGTGGCTCAACTACCCAAGTGGGATGTTGTTATGCAGTCAAATAGCTGGGTGTTGCCAAATGACCAGCAGGGATGCCGGCGTGGATGCCTGTGGGCGAGTCTGTCCTGGTCAGTCCATCTCTCTCAGCAGGCACTTCTCCTCTCAGATTTCCAAGACTGTAAACTTTTATGACCCTTTGGGGAAGGGGATGAGCTGCGCTTAGTCTCAGGAAGCAGGGTGGGTGAGTGGATGGCATTTCTGCCTGGCTGCAACCTCTCCAATCGGTGTTTTCAGTGCTGTTTTTACAAAGCACAGAAGGCAGCTTTAATGTAACTCCTCTCTCCCTTGCGCAATGCATGTTTTAAACCATACTTTTTATTTCTCTGTCTAATCTTACATGCTAATAGTATTCTGTTCTAAGGAGATGGTACACAAATATGGTTAAACACAAATAAACAAACACAAATGAAACAATATAGGAGAATGGGGATAGCTGTCCCGAACATTCCTTTCCATTACACTGGCTCCTCTTCACTCCTGAATATGGGGGAGGGAAAGCCCAAAATTGTAGGTGAAACAGTCAGGGAATTAATAACAATTCCCAGCAAATACACATATATCATTATCATCATGTCTGTAACACTGAAAACAAGACCTTGGTGCCCCCATTCCATTAATTCTTATAGCACAATTAGCAGTTCTACCAGCCGCCTCCACCCTCTTCTTCAGCTTGGGTTCTATCTTCCCCATGCTCACCAGAAGCACTATTTTTATGGTCATGGCACACAAAAAAAGGAGGAATGAGAAGATAGACAATACAAAATCCACACCGATCCCAGGCCAGGCTCCATGAAGACAACACCTATAACTCTGGGGGAGATATAAATTTAATAAATAAATAAAATAAACTCCTCTTATGCCATGGGTTCCAATTCCACCAAGTAAGATAACCACATTAGCCAAATTGGCAAGGATCCAGGATGGGCGAAGACAATTGGTACCAGTCATTTGATTTGGATTGCAACTCCCATCAGATCTTACCAGCATAAGCAGTGATCATAGTAGACACCAAATTGCTTGTCCGTGATTCAAAATATGAAATGAAGCAGTAGTTGTTCAAAGCAGCATTCTCCAATGATTTACTAGAGTCAGGAAAAGGAGACAGAGGTTAGAGCATCACTGGGGAAAGGGAAAATATGATTTTGCTTGTCCTTTTAAAAGATGTATGTTAAGTAAAAACAATGTCAGTGATGTTGTGGTATTCCCAGTTTGATGTTGGGTACCTGTATTTAGAGCCTTAGGGTAGAGTTCTAGGCAGAGACTTGTTAGCAGTACTACCTGATCGCTAAGTATGTATAAAGCAAAGCTGTCTGGGGCAAAATGTCATTTCATCCTATGTTGCATTATAAACATTGTATATTATATGAATACTTAGTACGCAGCATGAGTATCCCCATTCCTAGAAATATACAATGGGGAATACATTCTGAGGGTGTGTGTGTGCGTGTGCGTGCACGCGTGCTACTTTTTCAAAGAAATTGGATGTTAAGGGAACATTGAACAAAAATCTCATCTTAAATATATATTTACTGAACAATAAGACATACTCCATTCAGTGAACTTATTTTTAATTAGGGAAAGATGGAGGAAAGACAGCTTGTAACAAACAGATTTCTAAGTCATGTTATGAAGATTAGAAAAATAAGGTCTGTAAGGTTATTTTGTTAAACAGGTCCTGCTGCAGCTGCACTAAGGTTTTATCAATATTCCTTTACTGTAACAATATTCCTTTAGAATTATTAACTATTTGGAGAATCTATAATCACAAAATTCTTGGTGTCTCTCAAGATACCAGTAATGAGACTGACTTTAAATTGATCCATCTCTTAATTTGAATAAAATTACCTTAATTTGAGTTGAATCTTAAACTGTGGATATAAGGTCAGTGTTAACTAATGTATTGTGAAGTATTAACAGTGCTGTGAATAATAAATGTTGCAGTAACCTGGATTGCTTATTTGTATGTTTGCTGTCTTTCAGGAAACTTGACACCTCACCTTCAGAGTATTTTTATAAGGAGCCCAGTTTTTTCAGGGATGGTCCTTCCTGAAGTTCAGCATCCTAAAAGTGCAAGGAAAAAATATCCCAAACTCAGTGCACTACTTGCAGATATGGTTCATGTATGTCAGAAGAGGTCTGAGTATCAAGCTTACTGATGATTATTATTTGTAGCCTGACATTCTTTTTATGTATAATTTACAAATCTTGAATTATCAGTTGTATTTAGAAATGAGAAAGAGACTTGCAACATGATATAAAAACTTTTTTGTTGTTTATTTGTTTGTCATTGCCTTTTTCATATCCTGAGGTGGTTGTACTGATATTTGAAATTTCAGTTCAGGTCTAAAGAGAGGTATTTGCATATTTCAGGTAATTTTGGTAGTCCGTAAAGTTTTTAATTTTCCAGTCTAAGATGCTATTTTCCTTTTTTATCCTGCAGAGTGTTGTAGAAAAGCTTTGAGCGTATCTTGAAAGCTTAGGTACTGAAAGGCAGAGAGAGGTACTATTTGTGGGTGTATATGGGAGAGAGAGAGAGAAATATCTATGTACTTTTAAACCAACAGCCATGATTTTACTACAGCAAGTAAAATTTAAAAAAAAGTCCCTTCAAGTCAGTCTTGACTCCACATGGACATGTTCGTGCAGTTTTCTTGGCAGTATTTTTTGGAAGTAGTTTTTCATTGCCTTCTTCCTATTGCTGAGAGAGAATGACTGGCCCAAAGTGACCCAGCTGTCTTCATAACTAAAGCAGGACCAGAACTCACTGCCCTTAGTTTTTAGCCCAGTGCCTTTAACCACCACACCAAACTGGCTCTCTGTAGCAAGTAAACCTTTTGAATATGAACACTGAAGAATCAAAGATTTTTGGCTGTTCCTATTGACTTGACGATTTAACATGCAGGAGTAAATATATTTTTAAATATATTTATGGTCACTATCCCAATACATTAAGATTAAATAAACTTCTTAATTAAGCGCTTATTTCTATAGTTGGGTTTTTGTTTCTGTTTTTGTTTTGCTGTGTTTGCAGTAGGCGTGATTCAGGTTTTATGCATAAGTAGAGCTTCATTGTTGTTTTCTTACTTGCATAGCACAGGGCAGAGCATTTGGAGGAATGCTGATGTCTTAGCCTAAGTTGTCTTGGATTATCATTCATTCCCTAAAGGTTGAGTGGTTGGCTGTGCTGGGTTTTTTAGTCAGCATCTAGGAGATTTCTCTTTCTTCAGGAGATTCCAGCTCAACTGTAGTCATATTTTGACTAGGTTTTCAACATGTTCTGATGTTTATTATTTCATCAAAATTGATCTTTATTTGGGCAGAGCCATGCTTTGAATTTGATTCTTTAAAGATGCTTTGGGGGGCAGATGTGTGATCCTTGGAAAAGGCATGACTACCTTAAGGAGTTGCAGACAGATGCTATATTTATGTTCCTTTATACTCCAAAGCATCCATTGGAATGGAATTTAACATGCTACATAGTTCTACTGCTTATGGCATGATATTATGGAAACCACTAACCACTTATTAAATCTCAGTAGCGGATTATAACTCTACAGAGCGCATAACTGGCATTGCTTTGGCTTGAACAAGATATTATACTAACAGAAGATAAAGTATCCTTTGATCCTTTTCACCTTTATTTTAAAAACATAAAAGCTTTCTGTGAAACCTAACATCAAGTCATGCGTAGATTAACAAAGGAGGTTTTTTTTAGTAATGAGAAATATTGAAAATGTTGAGATCTTAATTATTCACAAGGAATGTACTAAGTGGAAACATTATCTCTCCATCATCTTCTCTCAAGTTAAAAATGATAATAAACAAAATTAATGTAAAGGAAAAGATTACAGGTATCTTCAAAGTGCCTTTACTGGCAGCTGAACATTATCTGGTCAGTTATAATAAAATACCAATAAGTACTTAATTTTGAAACCTTTTTTCCCCTTTTGATCTTGTTTGGTAACTTGTGCTTACCTATATTATCTTGGCTTTTAAAGATTTTAACTGAAAACAGAAAAACCTCTTTTTCTTAGTCTCAAATACTGTTAACTAATTATTAACTAACAGATTAAATCAATATGACTTTCATTTCCATTGAAGCTTTTTTTTTCTTAGCGTTTTTGTGGGGTCTCCTTTTTTCGGATCAACTGAATGTTGATCCATTGGTTCTGACAGGCTTGTTGCCCAAGCCTGATGTCGTGGGCTGCTAAAAAAAAATGCTATTTATTATTAATTACATTGATAGACCTCAGTATTAATGCTGTTTAACTATGACATAAATTGGAGCTCACAGTTTCATCTCCTTAAAAAGTATAATGCAATTAAAATATATAAAAATTCAAACAACTGTCTTTCAAGGTAGGTAGTTAGCTTAATCTTGAATCACATTTTTGGAAAATATTTCCTGACAAAAATGTATTAATAATTATAATTATAAGACACTTCTACAACTTTCTATCCATTTCATAGCTTTTCCATTTTGTATCTTGGGTTTTATCCCAAATAATTTTAATAGGATCCAAATCAACTTGTTCATTAGTTTTTTCTTTGTAAAACTGCTTTATGCTGTGCTAACCCTTTTGGGTAATCATACACATACTTTGGAAATTATACACTTACTTCTAACTTTGAATAGTTAATTATTTCTTATTAAATATTTTAGTTAACATTTCAGAATAAATTTGTAACTATTGGTTTTAAACTTTCTACACTTCCCAGAGTCACTGTTGTGAGATTAATAAATAAACTTTATTTTGTACTGAGGAAAGGAAGCTAGGAATTTTAAAACAGCATCTAACATTTTCAAGAAAGCTAAGGCAACTTTTTTTTTTAACTGATGATAGTCCAGGCAGGAACTCAGGATGCTGGAGGATAGTCCCTTCTTTATTGTGGTGTGGGAAGATTTGCAGATGAATTGTAGTAATGGCTATTTCATGATGGATGGTTGAAGGTTGTGGATGAATCCTGATGTATTTGGTGAATGGTGTGGTCATTTTGTGCCTTGTGATTCATTTGGCAGGGAATAGTGTTTTTTCATACCTCTGATACTTCTCATAACTGAACTCACAACTCATTTGCTTGTATGAGGAAATGAAGAACTTATAGCAGTTTTTAAAAGAGGTAGAGGCTACCTTCAAATCTATTTTCAATTCTTTGAAAATTTAAGGGTAACATTTTAATTCTCTTTAATGAAAATTCTAGCTACAAGGTTTTCCTGAAATATTATAAGCTGATTTTCTTTATGCTTATAGATAATTTCAGGATGCGTATTATTTCTCTATTTATCCTGAATAAATTGCTTGAAGTGGAACCTATTCACTGTATCAGCAAACTACGCTGGTATAAAATTTGCTGTCCCCATTGTCGCTCCCTGTCTTGCCTCTACTTGCTTCTACTGTTCCAAATCACTAACCTCCCTTCATCTCACTCCCCAGAAAAAGAGAAAGGGTGATACTGTAGATCTTCTTGCTTTAACCTTTGAAATACAAAACTAAATAAACCTTGTGTCACTTCTGTAATACCAATCATTGTTTTTTATTTGTCTTAACCACATTCCAAACTCAGTGATTCATTGGCTTTATATTGGTTACAGAAGGCGAAAGACACCCTATTGTAGTTGTGCCATGCAAGTCCCGGGCAGGTATGTTAGTGGTTATGCAACAAGTAACAATGTAGCTATGACTAATCTGACATGTTACATCAGCTTTCTTGCCCATGTCTGTTTTGGTAATCGTTACTAAGATCAGAGATGTAACAATATTGTCTTTTGTTGTCTTGCCACTGAATTCTGCTGTATCCTCATTCCAGGTTGGATTGGGAGTTGCTATGGCTCAACTGCCTGAACTCTCTGTGAGAGGTCCTGTTGAAAATAGGAAACCCTGATTTAATCTATTACATAATGACATGTTTCTTGAAGGCTGACTGATGGCCTCTTTATAATATTTTAACCCATAAAATACATTTTCTTAAGTTTTTTGGGGTATATTTCTGAAAGTCACATTTTATTAACATGGTTCTAGACAGGGTGTCTGCTTATCAGATCTTAGCTTAAACCTAAAGAATTGTACATAGTAACGAAGAGTCAGTTACATTATTAATGGCAATAGCAGCAGCAGGCACGTTTGTAATAATGAATACTGCACAGCTATCATTTATACTTGAACAAAAGCCTAAAGTACTTGATTCAGCAAAAAGTAATGAGGCTTACAGCAATAAAGTACTCATACAAACCATAACTCCTTTAGCGCTGATAGACTTAGTTTCAAGGAAATGAAGGGTTATCATTCATTCATTCATTCATTCATTCATTCATTCATTCATTCATTCATTCATTGATTGAAAGGTCTCTAAAGCTGCAAGCAACAGAATGATAGTATTCACAAATTAAAACTGTGTTAGCCAAACATGGAAATTTTATGGCAACTTGAATTTCTTCTTTATGCAATTCTGCTACATATTAAATTTCACTGATGGTACAGAAAGTGCTAGTTACTGCAATTCTTGGATGTCTCTATGCTAGACTTTCATATGCCACAGTATCATCATGTCAGCTACCCAGAGAATCCTAAGGGAGTCTTTGAACAATTTAGTCATGTCAAACAATGCTTCCTCCTTGATGACTATAAAGCAATTTCTGGATTGATAACACTGCTTCTGAGAAATATTTTTACATGCTCCCTATAACTGTAGCAGTGAGAAATTCCAAGAGCAGTACTACAGTTCTTAACTTACTCTGCATGGGGAAATATGAAGCTGGTAATCAACCCTGTTTTTCTTTTAAAATATTATTATTATAATTGTGTGTGTGTGTGTGTGAGTATACATATAGTGCATACACACACACACACAGATACCAAATTAAATATTTTCCCTATTGCTCACTTTCTGAAATGCCTTGCCTTTCTGATGGCTGCAAACCCATCCCCCCCCCTCCAAAAAAACCCAGAAAAGTCTCTCTTCGCACCAATATACACTGGACGTAGGACCAAACAGAGACAGCAAAGCAATTCTGCATACTTCTGAAGGTTCTTAGGTTGCTTCTAACCCAACAGTTTCTAGTTTTCAGCACACATTCCCCAGCCTAATACCCTTTCAATATGTTGGAATACAATTAGCATGGCTAGATTGCAGAAGACTTCTGTAACATCATCTGTCTTTGCCAAATTCAAACTATACAGCTTTTCTTTCCCGTCTTGCTAAACAGTAGTCTTAAACTCATTTTTTTTTTTCTGGTGAACTATACACACACCCACACCCTAGCCATTAGCTCTTATTGAGGATCAGCCCTGTTTGTAAACAGCTTTTGGAAATATGATTACTTAGTAGCTTTTGTAAATATTCACTGATGAATATTTAACAGAAGATGTCAAATCTAAATATGTTTACATTAATTTGTTCAGATCAGCATCTTTGTAACCAGAGCACTATGGCATATTTATATAGAATATGTTCCTTTTTAGACTCCTGGCAAACAAGGGCTCTACTATTCATTAATAGTACCCTGATTTATTTTTAAAAGGGCAGAGTAGTTTTCACAGGTGCTGTTTCTTCATAAAAGAGCTTCCCATGCTAGCTGGGGGTTATGGATATCTAATGAGCTCCAGGTTGTGAAAGGTATGCATTTCCTTCATTTTCATCTTGACTGGATATTCAAAGACAGGGCCTGATGCCATGAATGGATTATTTTTTTCTGGGAATGAAGGGAACCATGGTGGTCTTGGCATTTTAGAAAATCCAATGGTGTCAGGTTCACAGTGGCAGAGCTAATCCCTTGAGGAAAAAGAGTACTACTAGGAATGAGAATGAGAGGAGTTTCTTCATAGTCTGCCTTAACACAGGAGTAGGCAACTATTTTTCAGTTCTGTGGGGAGGGGAGGAACCATACAGAGCTACTAAGGCCATAAAAGCCAAATTTTAATTGGGAATAAAGTTGGGGAAAGAAAGATGAAGTAGTATAGCCCTAATTAACATTGTGTTTCCTAATTATACATTCAGTACAATGTCCCTTTGTTTTAGATTCCTTCTTGCGCATTTTTATTGTTGCTAGGTTTGCAATAAATAAGGTATGGAATGAGAATTGGGTAGGCTTTCTCCAACATAGTGCTCTCCTGGTGTTTGGAGTACCACTCACAATCCTTACCTAGCATTGCCCTGGATATTGATGATGAGAGTTGTGGTCCAACCTGGGCATCTAGCTAATGGCTGAATTGCTAGGTTATCATCAATAGCCTAGTTGCTAGGTTATTAAGACACTATTCCATTAAATCATTCTTACTGATCTATGAGCTTATAACTAGCACCATCAGAAAAGTTGATTCACTTTTTGAATCAACTAATGAGCTAAGATGGAGAAAGAACTGCATTTTCCCAGAAAAAGTAAAGTACAGGTATATTAAGAATGTTAAGGCGGCTGAGGCTTTGGATTGGATCATGCCTATGCAACTTCTCCTCTCTTATTGATCCTGCCACTCCCTGTAGTTCACATAAGAACTGAGGGAGATGAAATGAGAAGAGACGTCTAGAGCGTCACTGGCGTTCAACAGGGGACGAACTTGACTGAACATGGGTTAGAGCCACTATTAAGGCCTACCTTGTAGTGATAAGGGCGGCAAAGTGTCAGTACTTCGCCCTTATTGCGTCTGTGGATAGCCATCCCAGGGCCCTGTTTTGGGGACAAGTGCCCTGTTGGGTAGAGGGTGCTTGGATAACCCCTTGCAGGGGCGTGCAGAAGAATTTGTTCAGCATCTGTCAAAGTTGCTCGGATTTGCTTGCAGTTGGATGCTGGCCTTGGTACAGGTCCAGAGGAAATGCCAGAGGAGGAGTCTTGGCCGGTAATCTGGGAACAGTTTAATCTGTTAGGCCTGAGGAAGTGGACAAGGTCCTTAGGACTGTGAGCTCAGCTACCTGCTCTTTAGATCCATGCCCCTCCTGGCTTATTAAAGTGGCCTGGGGGGTGTCATGTGAATGGGTTCTGGCAGTGATGAATTCTTTGAGTGAGGAGGTTGTTCCTTTACCTCTTAAGGAGGCCTTGGTTCGCCCCCTTCCTCAAGAAGTCATTGCTGTATTCCACTATGCTGGACAATTTTCATCCAGTATCTAACCTCCCCTTTTTAGGGAAGGTAGTTGAGAAGGTGGTTGCACAACAGCATCAGAGGACCTTGGATGAAGTGGATTATCTGGATTTGTTTCAGTCAGGATTCAGACCTGGGTATGGGATGGGAACAGCATTGGTCGTGCTTTTGGATGATCTTTGGCGAGAGCGGGATACAGGTTGTGCATCCATCCTTGCCTTATTTGACCTCTTGATGGCTTTCGATACCATCGACCATGGTGTATTTCTGGATTGGCTGGGTGGGTGGCACTGTGTTCTGCTTGTTCACCTCCTTTCTCCAGGGTCTATTCCAGTTGATGGTGATGGGGAGGAGAGATCCTGCCCTTGGCCCCTACTGTGTGGGGTGCCGCAAGATTTGGTGCTCTCTCTACTCTTATTCAACATCTAAAGGAGGCCTCTGGGTCTCCATTACCATGGGGTGAGGTATCATCAGTACACTGATGATATCCAATTATACATCTCTGCCCCTGGTGAATTAAGCAATGCTGTGGATGTTTTATCCTGGTGTCTGGAGGCTGTGAGGATCTGGATAGAGAACAACAGGTTCCAGCTGAACCCTGGCAAGACTGAATGGCTTTGGGTTTTGGGGCCTGCCAGTTCTAGGACTATGCCATTTTTGGTGCTGGATGGGGTTGCACTGCCCCGAACAGACCCAGTGTGCAACTTGGGGGTCCTCCTGGAGTCACAACTCCTGCTCAATTAGCAGGTGGCAGTCGTGGCTAGGATAGCCTTTGCACAGTTTTGAATTGTGCACCAGTTGAGCCTGTTCCTAGATTTGGGTGCTCTGCTCACAGTCACTCATGCCCTAGTCACCTCCCAATTGGACTACTGTAATGCACTCTACATGGAACTGCCCTTGAAGAGTATCCAGAAGTTTCAGCTGGTGCAAAATACAGAGCGCGGGCAGTTAAGTGTGCGTCTAGGACAGCACATGTTACACCTCTGCTCCAGGAGCTGCATTGGTTGCCAGTCTGCTTCCGGGTCCAATTCAAGGTGCTGTTTTTGACCATTAAAGCCTTCCTTGGCATGCAGCCAGGTTATCTGAGGGACTGCCTCTCCCCGATTATATCTGCCATTCCATCAGATCTGGCAGAGGAGGCATGCAATGAGTCCAGTCTGCTAGGGAGCTAAACTTGGCAGGTCCCAGGAAGCAGGCCTTCTCTGCTGTGGCACCCACCTTATAGAATCTCTCCTCCACCAAAGTGAGGCTGGTTCATCCCTGTTGATTTTCTGAAAGTCCCTCAAAACCTGGTTATGCCATCAGGCCTGGGGGCTCCAGGGGACCAGTGAGGTACTGAAGTGGCTCCATTGTTGTTAACATCTGGTGTCCTTTGTAATTTTTAATTTTTTTAAAATAATAATTGTTTTTTATATCTTAACTGTTTTATTGTACGCCACCCAGTCACTCTTCTGTGAGATGGGCAGCCATATAAATTTGATGAATGAGTGAATGAAAATACAAAGTACTCTTCCTTTAGGCAGGATGGCAGGATCCTAGACAATAAATTATCAGCAATTTTCATTTCTTAAGCTATAAAATAGGCCTGTATTCCTGAAGTACCCTTAGAAATCCTTTCAAAGATCATACGAAGGATAGCTGTTTTCTGTTTTAAGCAAGACAGAATTTGTCTTAATGGGACTGATGCTTATCCATATCAGTGTACTAATATACGAATTTTTGTAGAGAAAAAATGAGCTATGTTTTTCTGGCAATAAAGGGAGATACTTATTATTGAAACTAAGGGCAATTACATTTACTTTTTTTTAAAATAATAGAAATAATATATAATACACATTTTATTACACAACATTCTTCTATAGTATATTATTTCTAAAATAATAATTTTTATTTACTAGGCTTGTTTACAAATGGATCCTGCAGACAGGATATCATCTGCTGATTTGCTACAACATGAATATTTCACCAGAGATGGTTTTGTTGAAAAGTAAGCTATTTGGATACAACATTCAGCATTTACTCAAAGAGCTTTTCAAGATGGTTGGCTTTTTGTATGACAAATGTGAAATTGCTGTTAATTTATTGATTGGAGAGAATGAAATCTTCACCATAATACTGCTTATGTTGCTGAGACATTGTATTTTCTTTGTGTTCTTTATGTATAACATCTAATTTCTGGAAAATCTTATTTTCTTGACATGTTCTAGATATAAAACAGTGCAATTTCCAATGCAATTACTGTATGATTGTTGGTATCCACTGGCTCAGTACTCTGTAGGCCAGAACATCCATACCTAACTAATACCTTCCAGGTGCTTACTACTTTTAAAATTTTTATCTGGTGCGGCTTTGCCTGGGAATTCTGGGATTTGCAGTTCAAACAAAACTGGAGGGCAAAAGGGTATGAGAAGAGTGGGCCAGAGGCAATAATACGAGTGATGGTAAATGTAGAACTTTCCTTATCTTAGCCAGAACAATGCGAACATGAGGGTGTTACATTGTGAAATTTAATAGTTTTATCTCAAAACTTTGTAACTAGCCAAGTTTCTAGGAAGTACCCTGGGAGACGAGAAGAGAGATGGAGAAGTGATCTTATGTTCTTGGTTTATTCTGGGCTGTCTCCCATGTCCTTGCTTCCAGGATGTGCTTAAGTAAAAGGGTTCAGAGCTCAAATCTGAAAATCATACCTCTGACAAGGAAACCATTTCTATAGACAGTGGTTTGCACTTAGAAACTAAACAAATATGAGGAAAAAGAAGAGATTAATTTCCATAGGAGAATTAGTTCTAAGGAAAAGAAAGAAAAATCGACTATTACAGCAACCCAGATCTCAGGACCAATAAGTTACAGTGGCTTTTGAGGAATTTATTTTTGAACATGTGGTAGAACAAATTGGGCTAAAGTAAAAATTAACAAGGTTTTTTTTTAATCCATTGAGTACTATAGATATCTCTGAATGATCAAAAACTTAATCTATGCAAGAGAGTCTCCCATCACCAGACATGGTGGTTGTTTATTATTAGAATGGATAGTGTTGGTCACCTTCTGAGAAGGAAAAGGGATCAGTGAATGAGATTTTTTCAGCTTCAACAAATGGTTCACATTTGAAAGTATGGATGAGAGAAAGGCAGTATCTTTTCAACAGAAAGGCTGACACTAATGGAAGCAGGGTCTATTACCTTCATGCTGGAGATGGGTTGGGTACCTATATTAGAAAGTCTACTAGGCTTGTCTATCTTGTCTCGGATCTTGTCTATCAAAGCGTATACCCTTCTAGTTCCAGATACATTTTTTGTAATTAGCTTGAATGGATGGAATGGATAGAAGGAAAGCTTAAAGCACAAACCAGTGTGAAAGTCTTTTTTCAGACCCTTATGGCTTGGAGCTTATTTATGGATGACTTAATAATCTTAAGTATTAGATGAAAAGACTGAATGAATAGTGAGTGAATTTGTTGCAAATCTGCCTAGGAATTTGTGCTGTTTTACAAACTTCAAAGCGGTTTTGTTAAAGCGACAAGAAAGAATCCTGATCTTTAAAAGATAACAAATAGACCAGTACATAATTTGTCAAGACTGAAAGAGAATTGGAAAGTTAGAATATATATTGCACTGATAAGTAAACATTTGACATGGAACAGAAAGCACATCAGCAAATTCTCCTTTAAGTCTTTGCCTGTGAGGCCAAAACTAAGATATAGATGTTTTGTCGTTTGTATGCTTTGTATAATATATCAGCTTAATATAGTTTTTAGATAAAAGATATGGCAGGAACTGAAGCTGAATAAAGAGTTTTGTGAACAGTTTGTTGTATTAATTTCTTTCTGAATTGTATTTGCTTTATGGCATAGTTTGCTCTCTAGCCAGTAGGTAGTTGGTTGGGAAAGCAGGGAGAGCAAAACTCTTGTAGGGATCAAGCAATTGGACAAGTTTATATTTGAAATTGTCAGTGTGATGTAAATAATATCCTTTTTCATATCAGATTCTTACCAGAATTGAAAAGCAAATTATTACAAGAAGCAAAGCTGAGTTTTCTTTCAAAATTCAGAGACAATAACAAAGAGGTTGAGCAAATCAAAGATGAAAAAAGAATAGTTCATATTAACATGTCTCAGAGTGGTCCAGTTACATTACGGGTAAGAATGATTTATGATTATTCTTTTAAATTGACAGAGCAAAAATACAGAATATATGTTAAAAAGCTACAGATATACCATTGTTTTTCCTTAAATATTTAATCATATTTTATAGCTATATTAGGTTACTGATTTCCATATAAATTAATTTATTCTTCCTTCAACATGGCATTTTCCAGATCTGTTGGCACTACAGCTCTGAGAATTGTGGGAATTTTGGCTCAAAAGAACTCATGAACTTTAAGTTAGACAAGGCTTAATTAAGAATTTTGATTATTGTGAATTTAAGGTTTATGCTTAGGTAGTGTTATAAACAGTTAAGTAACACATTTCTGTCATGTTTATTTGACCATTCCATTGTATTCAGGGAGTCTTATTCTGTGGTAATATGGATTTACCACGGGATTGTTCAATTTAGGTGCTGAGGGAGCAACATCTAACTATCGTGGTTAATTAAAAAAACTACTAAGCAGAGTCGTACCTGGCTAGAATTTGGATGGGAGGACTATAGGAAATCTCTGTGCTGCAGGCTAGCCTAGAAGAAAACAAAACATCCAGGAAGGCAACCGTGGCAAACCATTTCCATATTGCTGCTAAGAAAAACTACATGGATACGTTATCTATATAGGCACTAGCAGTCAAGCTTGATTTAATTGAGTTTTTATATTTTGCTTGTTCTCTTGAATGGAGTAAAAGGTCTCAATGGATCTTCCATTGCTTTCAAATGCATCTCTGCTGTTGAACTTGCCAGTATAACCCTGTTTTTTTCATGTGTATACTTCCAATCACGTGTAGCACTAATATAATTACTATATTAGTGTCATACTTGAGATCTCTAGTGTCCATGTTCACTTCCATGTGGAGAGCCAGGGCATGTTTTTTTACAGTTGGTTTTATACATAGCACTGTTGTTTTGGTAGTCCCAAGAAAAAAAGGCATAATAAAATAAATTTAGTTTCAGTTTCTCAGTCTAGAGAAAACCCCCATAAAGTCTTAAACTTTGTATGTGTCACTACCAGTAATTAAATTGCACAAAAAGAGACTCACAGAACCAGAATTCACGCTTTTGAATAAAGGTCTTTGAAACTATGAGTGTTCTGAGGTTCTGTTATTATGCCATACAAGCATGGACTGTTATGGTACACAGTATAAAGCCAAATGCCCTAATCTCATCATAGCCACCAATGAGTAGCCAAACGCAAATTTGTTAATATATGTGTTACAGAAGTTGATTTAATTTAATATGTAATTTTAGTCTATGCTGGTGATACAAAGGTATCCTAAAAATACAATGTGATAGGATGTGATATCAACATTATTGGCATTGCCAAATGTTTGGTTTCATTCTGATTGGTTTGCACCAGAATTGCCATTATAACAGGGTGTTTTAATTAGGCTGTAAGGCTAGCAAAGGAAAACAATTTGAATGTTATAAGAAAGCCTCAGAACTTCTGTTTTTTCTAATATTGCTAAACTGAGAGCTCTAACAGCTTTTTTCAAAATTACATATTGTAAAACAAAATTCCTTTAGGAATGAAGAAATGTTTCCGTCTAAGCAGCATTTGTTTAATACAAATATTGTATTTAGGTGTAGCAAGCTCCCGAGAAATAGCTGGCATGCCTTTTACAGCAAAAACAACAAAGAGTTTTGCAACATCTTAAAAAACAACAAATGTATTACAATCCTCTGATGAAATGGATTCTAGGCCACAGTATTTTGATGCAACAAATGTATTTGGCTTTAAAGTGTCAAATGACTTCTTGTTTGTTTAATGTTGTGTCCCTATAAAGAAAATATTCTCAGTTATTTCAGTAAGACAACTCCATAATTAAAAATGCCAGCATATGATCCAGAGAATAAAGTTCTTGTATTCTATTGGCAGGCTGATATTTCATCTACCAAAATTATTGTTTGATAGTTGTTGAGTTAGCATTCTGGATGAGAAGATTATGTAAGAATTATACAGACTTATGTACTGAAACTGTGAACAAAGAACATGGCCTTATGTTGCTATCTACCTAATAACTATTTTTAAATTGGTGAATTCATATTCTGAAATGACTTGAAGAGTTTGATTTTTTCAGTGAACTTTATAAAAATTGTGAATGTTCCACATTTTATAGGAACAAAATGTAAAATGTAAGTAGATATAATTGTTCAAAGTTTGAATGTATTACCTGTTCTAGGAAATGGAAAAGGACAAAAAGTCAAAGGAGATAAAGATCAAAGGTATTAAAGTGAAAGGGGGAAAATCTGAAATTTCAGAGCTTAAAAGAAATGAGCAAGAAGATGCTGTTTCACAGTGGGTTACTATGTCTCAGAATGCTCTCAACTTATCTCATGAGAACAAACCCACAATTGGTGATGGCACCACCTTGATAACAGTTGGCATTGATGCTGGTGGGATAAAGGATGAGGCTCCACAGACACCTTGTACAACAATGCCACGCATACATCCAAACTGTGGAAATCTTACTGCGAATTTCAGTTCACATTTCCTGTGTCCTAATTCAAGGTATGTACTGGAAAACTGAATGCTGACCATATGTAGTGGGGAGTTGGGTGGGGATAGGAGTGGATATTAATTTTTGTTTGTTTATGTTAGAGGGTTTATAGGCTCCTCCAGTCACAACCAACCTGGAGCAATGTTCTATTTCCCCTCCATAACTTGGATTAAAACAAAATACAGTCATACCATCACAATCATAGAATAAGATCCTGGGAATAATAGCAATTTCCACTCCCACCCCCCAATCATTTCTGTTAGTAGAAGGACAAACTTCAGGGCTTGTTCAAAGCTTTAAAGAGCAGGGTTTTTTAATTCATAGATTTAAATATACTGCTTATGACTCCTTATTTAAAATGATCTTTCCAGCATAAATTTTAAAAAATGATAAAATATGTGGAACATGCCTTTTAATTTCATTTTGGAGGCAAGCGTTACACTCCAACTGGTCAATTATTGTCCAAGAATAAATGTATTGTTTCTTTATCAGACTACCAGAAAAAGCAAAGAAACGGCGAAGTCCTTGGCCATCAGTAGGACAAGTAGGTCCAAACAGCCGTCAGGAAGAAGGAGCTATGACTCAAGTAATTATAAAAAAAATATATTTGTAAAATAATGTAGTTCATGCATTGATGCCATTATAATACTTCCTCAAATCAAGTATTAATATTTTGCAATTAATTAATTTTAAGCTATACTAGATTTGACAACAAAACTTTTGTTTAAACATGATTTAGTCCATCTATGTGTAAAGTAGGAAGGAGGTTCATATTTTTACTGCAATCAAATCAGGATGCCTTCTCCTCCTCAGTTTACCTTCTTTGCAGGCTGTGTATCAGGAGGTTTTTTCCTTCTCTTTAATATCAGAAATGAGCTTTTGTCATCCATTTACATTTCTTGATTTTAAAATCAGTCTGCCATCCCAAAAGTATTCGTTTGATGGCCTCATATTTAGGTACATTAAAAAAAAATTATGTTTCTGACCCTTATACCCTTTGAAATCAGTGAGGAAAACAATACTACTGCTGATTTCAGCTGGATTTATTCAAGTCTGTCTATCGTCCTGCTGCCTTTTGTAGAGTTTTGATTTGCTGTACAGGTAGTCCTTGTTTAGTGACTGCCTCAGACAGTGACCATTCACAGTTACAACAGTGATGAAAAAGTAACTTTGCAACCAATGCCTGCATTTATGACCTTCGCAGCGTCTCTCGGTCACATGTTCGCCATTACAGTCAGTCAGTACAGTATTGCACTGTCCTATGCCTGACCTGTTTTTTTTTTCCCTTTTTTGCCTCCTTGCAGAGTGGAGAGATTACTTAAACAAGCTATCTCTTCCTGGCTGCTTTTCTTTGCAGTATAGCACTTCCCCAAAAGGTGCTACCCTCAAGTTAACAAACTCAGCTCTGTGACCTTAATTAGTTGATTGGAACCCTCCAGTGGGCTTGCACTGCTGCCTATACCAACAGGACCCTCATTAATTTCACACTGAAGGCTTTTTTGCTTCCTAAGTGGTTCGCAGCCACAAGCGTGCTAGGAAAAAGGGCTAGTGCATTCTTTTTGATGTGTATTCCCCATTGTATGCTGTTTTACTCTCTTGTAATCCTTTCTTCTCCAATGAATGTAAATACAAACATTAATTCCCTTCTTGATACTTATCGCAGTGCTGGGGTCAGTTTCCAAAGGGTGGGTGAGTGGGAAAAAAGGGCTATAAGATTTGCCCTTTTACTTGACTTCGTTATGGGTTGAGTTCCGGAAACCTTTCCTGCCGTTTGGGCTCACTCTGCTGTTTGGGGTCATATCTTTCTGACGCTGTAAAGCAAAAGAAAGTGGAAGTAAAATTGTAAGCACAGTTGCAGTCATGTGATTTTTCACTTAGCAACTGCTTTGCTTAACAACCGAGTTGACGGTCCCATTTGCGGTCACTAAATGAGGACTAGCTATATTCATCTCTAGTAGTAAACATTTCAATAAAGTTCTGTTGCTGTCAAATCTAGCATAGCCTGGAGTTAACTATCCCAACTCAGTTATATTTCCTTGTAAAATATTTGCACACTTTTTGAGGGTTCCTAAAAATGAGTAAGCAGCTTAATACTAAATGGACAGGTTGACATTTACACATTCCTGGCCTCTGGGCCATAGCTGGCATTGTTCCTATGATCTGAACTGGAGAATAAAAAACTCTCTGAGCCATACATCTCTTTGGCTTTTTCAGTGCTTTTGGTTACAGAGGAGGCCTACCAGAATGTGGTAACTGAAAGCAAATTTTTATGGGAAGATTGGCCGTTGAACTCTGACCTAGAATGGATCTTCATAGCATTCAGTGTGCCGGTTAAAATAACTATTTTAGAGAAATATGTTTGGAAACACCTTTCAAGCATTGGCTTGGCTTTCCCATTTGTTTTAGGAGGAAGGGAGTTGCTGCTTCTTATTCTTTAGCAGATTAAAAAATAGATCTTAGTACATAATGTAAACAAGCAAGTACGGTAGTTGGATTTTTCAGAGGCATAATGCTGGATGCTGTCAGCTACTAAAGCACAAAACCTATTGATTTAGTTTGCCCAATAACTTTTTAAAAACTTCTTTTACTTGTAATAATGGTATAGCTTTATTTGGTGGTATAAGCTTTCCCTAAATAAAGGAAAGATTTTTAGTATGTTACATAAAGGACAGAAATAAACAAAAATAATTTAAAAAATTAAATAGCTCAGATCTAATGAGTTCTCATATATATCTTACAAGAATAAGCTGTCTTGCATGATTTGGACCAATTTCTGATGTTTCTAATTAATTAATTTTTAAAATTTCAATTAATTATTTTTTAAAGGAGATCTGCGGGTGGCATCTAGTGGTGTTGTATGTACAATTGTCCATAGAAGTGTTGAGCTGTTGACTCTTGATATAAAGGCGCAGTCAAATTATAATCATGGTATAGATGTTTCCTTGGATGCATAATTATTCCATTTTTAGAACCAAATGGAGAAAGTATCCTTGTATGAAAGAGCTGCTCAAATTGATCAAATGGTGAACATAAACAGAAAGAAACGCAATATTTCGAGATGTGAGAAGAGAGAAATTCACTTCCCAGAACTAACTACAACGGGGCAACAGAAAGACCTGAAAGGAATGGAAAGTATGTTTCTTATATTCTGTAGATCTTTGTGAATATGTGGGTGTTTGCATATATAATTATGGACTTTAAATCGGAAATGAAAATGGCAGTACATAAGATTTGAGGAAAGAGTTCCCAAAAAGTTTATTGACAGCAAACAGGCTCTTCTTTTAGTATGCATCTGGAGTAGCATCCTTCCTTTGTAAATGGATGGCTGCATGCAAAAGCTGAATTAAAATATAAAAGCTTTGATAAACAGATTAGTTTTCCTTTTGCAATGGTTTCCTTTTGCAATCTTCAATGGTTTTGTTAGTTACTGAGTTGCGGATTTTGGAATATTTGCTTCAGAACAGAAAAAGTGCAATTCTAGAAATAATTAGTTATTTTTTCTTGTAAAAGTTAAACAGGTAAGAGTGCTGAAGAGGGAGTCAAAGAAAGCTGAAATATCAAAAATACCATCTTTACTAAATATGGATCAGAATCGTGAAAAACAAGAAGTAAGTTAAATTTCTCTGCTATTTTTTTAAAGTGATGTGATCTTATAGTCATATAGCCACGTGCTTAACTGATTACAGTTGATTTCAACTTCCTTGTCTTTGCCTATGCAGTAATGACAGCAACTCAGCTAAAAATTAAAAGTCCAGGGTAACCACAATCCCCTTGGATGGTTGTCCATGGGTGGATAGGATAGAATGGGGATCCCCTTCTGGAACACTATCTCAGGGGTGTGATATCCACTTCAAATGACCAAGATACGGCTGATGAAAATGTTGTGGTGTCACTTTACTGCTGGGAGTATTCACACTGGTGGTAGGCTGCTAGGCAGGTTGTAGAAGGGATAGATCAGAGTTGGATTTGGAACCTGTGGGCCTCAAAGCCCCCCCATTCCCTTGATAGGGGCTTGCATTGGCTCCTTTGGTTGCATATCTGGAGCTGACAAAGACGGTTCCCCTTGTTCCTTTCTGGGGATTTAATAAAACAAAACTGATGCCCTGAGTCACTTTTGAGGTAGCAGAACCCTGGAAATACCCAAAGTTTTGCTCTTTCACTTCCACATTCCCAGACCTTCTCGGGATTACTTTGGTCAGTTGTTGTTGAAGGGGGGGTCGTGTGTAATATTTGCATCCTTTGGTCTGTCATTTACAAATAAATAAAAAACATGATCTCATGCTGCACGAGGAATGCCAAAAAGCTGCTGCTAGACCCTTTGGAAATTTTGTTAGGATGTAAAACATTGGGATGTTTTGGAAGAAGATAATTTTACTTTAATAGAAAAGTGAGTTTCTAATAAAAGTCTTCTGTCAACTAATTTTATTTTTCAATGTAATGTTTAGAGCACAGGAAATGCAGGAAATATGCAACATGAATGAAAAAAGCCAAGTTTTTCCGTGTTACAGCATGCATCTTGGGAAGATATAGAATGTCTGGCGCAAGACATTTGCTTTTCAATTAAATTTTCATTTAAAAAGTGCCATGGATAACTCTGCATAACGTGTGTAGATCCTCTAATAAAGTATTTTGAAATGCAGTAGTCACCAAACTATTCATTTTGTATTGAATTATATAGTATATTTAAAGGCACGGGCAAAGCAGACCTATAATCAGTTTGTCAAATTAAGTGTTTGGGGAGTGCATATGTTGTTACTATGTTAGTATCTTTTGTATCAGGGGTGAAAACCCTTGCCACCCAGATGTTGCTGATTTACACTTTTTAATAGCTACTGTCTGTATGTCCATGGTCAGGGATGCTGGGAACTGTAGTTCACTAGATTTTGAGGAACCACTTCTCTCCATATTGCCTACATATTCAGCCTGGGAAGCTATGTTATTAAGTTATTTTGTTTTCACTGTGGGGAAAAAAATCAAATGGCAGACGTACCCCAGTTTTTCACAGAAATTTCAGCACTGTTGATTGATCAGGGATTATACTGGTGCACACGCTAAGACACTAGGGACACACCTTAGCATTCACCTCCACATCAGCACACACAGAATAGTTAAAATGATGCCAAAGTGCTTTTAGTCCACCAGCCCTCACTCACATTGGTAGCAATGTATAGTTCTCTGAAAAAACATTCACCCCCTTTTGGATTATCTGAATTTTTGCATATCTTTGCTACTGAATGTTATCAGCTACTAAATGTTATAATTTTAACATTAAAATTATTGGGGTTATTTTTTCTCTAAGACATGAAGCTTTGGTAGTAATTAATGGCAAAGATATGCAGAAATGCAAACAATCCAAAAGGGGGTGAATATTTTTTGATAGAAGAGTAGTAATGTTAGCCTTGAATTCCTCAAGTCCATGCCAATAAGGATATTGTTAAATGTTTGATATCAGAAGGATATGTGTGTCAATGGTTTTCACATGTACAATTAGTAGAAAGATTTAAAGTTGATAAAAGGACATGGTTTTGAATGTGATAAAACTGTATTTGAAATTGAGTTATGTACTAATGACAAGCATCTTACTGCTAAAATGTATAAACTTTTGTTGAGACTTGAAACAGAAGATGAGCAAGCTAAAAACTTTGGATATAATATACAAATGGAACAATGGGAAAGTATGTGGATGAAAGGGCTGAAATTTACATTATGTTATAACCGTAAAGAGAATTTTTATAAAATGATGTATCAGTGGTATTTGTCACCAGAAAATGTCAAAAATGTACAAAGTGACTTCAAATATATGTTGGAAATGTGAACAACAAGAAGGGACTTTTTATCATCTTTGGTGGACATGTAAATAAAGCTAAAAAATTTTGGACTCAAATACATATATTAATTCAGAAGATTTTGAAGATTAATATACAATTGAAACCAGAGACATTTGGGGCTGATGGAGGAACAATTGGAAAAATCTCATGGACCTTTTTTCTAAATATGATAAATGCAGCGAGACTTTTGTATGCTCAAAGGTGGAAAAACTCAATATTATCTACAATGGAAGAATGGATGGTAAAGTTGATGGAGCTAGCTGAGATGGCGAAATTGACAGCTTTGATCAGAGAAAAGACATTGTCTAATTTTAATGCTAACTGGAAGCCCCTCTTGAACTTTTTATGGGAAACAGAAAAAAATGAAATTATGATTTATGGATTTGATGATTAGTAACATTAATAGATTATAGAAAAAAATGGATGTTAAGTTGTAATCTTAGAGTAAGAGTTTAATACATGTCTTACTTATATCTGCTGTAAAGTCAGAAGTCTTTCTTTTTTTGTATTTGTTTCTTTTTCTTTCTTTTTCTACACTTTTTCTTTCTTCCTTTATTCTTTCTTTTCTTCTATTCTTTTTCTTGATTATTAGTTCTTGTTAGTTTTTTATCCTTCTGTTTTTAAATTTTAATAAAGTTATCTTGAAAAAAAAGGATATTGTTAAATATGGCTACTGCTAATTAGGCACAAAAGAGCCTCGTATAAGATAATATGCAAGGACTCTAGCTTGTGGAATGATTGTAGCTTGTCTCAATTGCAAAAGTTAACTTTGGGCAAGGAGAAAACTAACAAAAAACACCCACATACACTAATATTTGGAGCCCAGGACAGCTCTTATCATAAACTCCTAATTCTTCTAGTCTTTAGCCACCTTCCCATTTGAGGTTGTTCACTGGGGGCTAATGTGGAGCACCTCTTGCTTATCCTGTGACTTAATTTGTCTGGTACACTATGCACCATCTGCTTCTTCCCTTTGGAATACTGTTGTCTGAGTCCCTGCCTCCTGCATTTCTGGAAATATAATTTCTGGCACTTGCTATAATGGAGAAAGTTGTGAATTTGTGAGAAAAGCTGAGACATTGTAGCATGATTTGCCTAATGCTAATAATAAATAGACATCACTATGCTGAAATACTATAAAATCGCGTAAGATACATGTTCACAAACATAATCAATTTTTTTTGTGATAATGTCTAAACCTTCTGTAACCAAGCACATAAATCATTTGCAAAGATACTGGGGAACTAAAAAAAGAGCTTCTCATCCTGGTTCTTATTCTGAGAGTAAGCCAGTTAATTACATCACTGATGATGTTAATTAACAGTACCCTGTAGCTCTGATGTACAGTATTTGAATGGATTACATAGGCAATGGAATATGAGCGCTGAAAGCATAATCTTGATATTTAACACTGTCAAAATATGAAGAACTGGAATAGAATAATAGATACATGTGTGGGGCAAAATATTCAGAAATGGCTTTGTGGAGTACTGCATGGTTTTATAAGGCCTCTGTAGATGCTGAAAGATGTGAAATAGAGTTGGGAAGGGTTCTTCAGATAGTGATGGAAAGCAAATAATAAATACACGTTATGCATCTGGAAGAAAGTAGGAACAGGAGAGATGAATAGCAAAAGAACTGGTATCCCTATACTGTGTTTATTATTTTTATTTATTTATTAGATTTAGAGGCTGCCCAACTCCAGAATGACTCTGGGCAGCTCATAATTAACAACAGAAAATAAAAAGTATGTATCGGTTTTGCTTCCATCAATTTGACATAATCAGGATTGTGCAGCCTGATCAATGTATGCCTATTGGTCTAATGACATTATTTGGAAAAAGCCATTGTGTCAAAGCAAGTGGGAAGGACAGTATGAGCTGGAGTACTTTTTGAACAGCCTGGTGATTAAAAAACAGCCAATACATTAGGAATTATGAAGTACATACTACTTCAAACTGATAGAAGTGTTTTTTTTTTCCTATTCATATTGGTTGGTACATTTTAAATGCTCTGCTAAACTGTTTTTTATTTTATTTTTCAGGAGGTCAGAGAAACTTACTGTTAATCCAACACAAAGTGAATGAATGCTTTTTTTTTCTTTATGATTTTCCATTGGTTATGCTTTTCATCCACTCAGCTCCAAGTACTTGATAAAGGAAATAAACAGGAGATAGCTTTTTCTCGTACCGTGAATATATCTACTGCAGGATTTTTTTCAAAATAAATGTATACAGTAATTCTCATTTAGTTAATTAAAATATTTTAACGTGGCTTGCACATATCATGGACAGTAAGCTGAATTTCTGTGGTGGCTCATTCGCAGAGGGTTGAGTTCAACGTGAATCAAGGATCTTTTATAGAACTAGAAAGGAACCAAAAGCACTATCAATTGCAAAATAAAATATAACAAAAGGAAAACCTACAAGTGTTTCAGTTACTAAAGATAACCTTCCCTCCCTCCACAAAGGAAAGGAAGTTAGGGACACCCTCACTCAAATACACACCCAGCCACATGTTTTCTATAGCAGCTGATCAGAATACCACAACAATAATATGTGCCAGAATATTACTGTCTATCTTTTAATTGTGGTTTAATGACTAGAAGTAATGTAGGATTACTATAGCAAGTCTCATTCAATGTCATTAGTTGCCTTGTGTGATTGTGTTAAATTCTATAAAATAACTGTTTTCACTTAGTACTGGCTTTTTGGGCATTAATTACGGGTATTTCTCATTTCCAACTATAAAAATGGTATGCAATACGTATATAGGCAATACACACACACACACACACACAATATATATATATGTGTGTGTGTGTGTGTGTGTAAAATACATTGTATTGCAGTTTATTATAGGCAAAGGAGCACAAAATAACATACAAAGGAATGCAAAGGTTGAGGAAGCCTGCCTTCACAAATCTGAGTCAGCCTCTAATGGAAGATAAGGAATGTTGCAGTGGTAGCCAGGAATACAAGCTTGAATGCAGCAGTTGTCCCTTTCCATGTCACTGATGGTATAGTTATTAGCAGTTATTGTCAGTCCTTCAGGGTAGACCAGAAGGACTCTATTGATATCGGCTGTAACAACAGAAACTTGAAAGCCTGAGTGTTTCTCCTTCCTTCCCTCTTATTAGATGTATATCTTGCCTTTATTTTGCACCATTCAAGGTAGTGTACTGCTCCTGTCTTCTATTTTCCCCACAACTCTCTGAGATGGGTTGGGCACAGAGAGTCTGCTTGGCCCAAAGTCACCCAGCCACCTTTCATGCCTGAGAGAGGACTAGAACTCAGAGTCTCCTGGTTTCCAGTCCAGCACCTTCACCACCACACCAAACTGGCTCTCTGTCATACGAAAGAGAATCAAGGCAAGCCAATCTTCAGTTTCTTTCTCAGGCTTTCCTGTTTTCTTGGGCTAAGTTCATGTTTTCCCAAAGCTTGCAAATATTATGATAATTTTAAATTATTATAATTTTATTGGCTGCTGTATATATTTATTTTTGTATTGTTTTTAATTGTTTTTATTGTTTTAGAATTGTTCTCTGCCCAGAGTCACTTGGTTGGGTTGGGTGGCTATAGTAAGTAAGTAAGTAAATAAATAAATTCCAGTAACCTATATTCTCTCCACAATGCCACAATTTAAATGCCACGTGATTTTACAGCAAGTCATGTTTTCAAACCTGAATTATCTTCTATAGTTTCTAATCTTTCAAAAAAGTAGTGCAGATTATAAAGGGAGGGAGAAAAAAATCCTTTTTATACACAAAATCCCATCAGAGCTTAACATCCATTCTCTGTTATATGCTGAAATCACACAATCTTGGATGAACTAAAATGAGATATGTCAGTATCTAACAACAAAACAGTAATACCAGCTGTAATTAACACTGTGAATTTCTTTTTGTTGTAATTTAAAAGTCCTGACATATGACAAAATTCAGTCATTCTTTATATGAATTTATGTGAGAATTAATCAGAAAACCAAATAAGAGGTTTCATACCCAGTAATTAAAGCATAGAAGTTGGAGCCTGGGAGATAATACATTTTATGTAGGTTCAATTAAAACATTTATGAGTCAATCAGGATGCCAAAACAACAAAAGTAAAGTCAGGCTCAAAATGAGAGATGGAAATGGAATAAAGTTTTTTTAACCAAGTCATGAACTTCAATTAAAAGCATGAAACTTAGAATGAACATGCAATAATAATGGATGCATTCATACAGTCAGGTCCAGAAATATTGGGACATCGACACAATTCTAACATCTTTGGCTCTATAGGGTACTGAGGGGATATCACACACCTGGCCATGGAACAGCTGAGAAGCCAATTGTCCCATTACTTTTGGTCCCTTAACAAGTGGGAGGCACATATGCAAACTGTTGTAATTCCTACACCGTTCACCTGAGTTGGATGTACATACCCTCAAATTAAAGCTGACAGTCTGCAGTTAACGCACATTGTGTTTGTTTCATTCCAAATCCATTGTGGTGGTGTATAGAGCCAAAGATGTTAGAATTGTGTCGATGTCCCAATATTTCTGGACCTGACTGTATATAACACAGCATGCTGACTGACCTCCAGCAGTCTGATTCTCATATAATGGGTACTGAGGGGATATCACACACCTGGCCATGGAACAGCTGAGAAGCCAATTGTCCCATTACTTTTGGTCCCTTA